GTGTAGCTTTGCGCCTTTCCTGGAACTCACTTGGTAGCCCAGGCTGGCCTCAAACTCACAGAGATCCGCCTGCCTCTGCCTCCCCGAGTGCTGGGATTAAAGGTGTGCACCACCACCGCCCGGCTGTGGTAGTGTTTTTGATTGTTTTGTTTTGCTTTGAGATGGGGTCATATGGAGCCCAGGCTAGCCTTAGACTGCTGATATTCCTACCTCTACCTCCCAAGTTGCTTGCACAACATGCCTGGCCTTAAAGTTCTCTCATAACTATATACTAATATAAATATACGTGAAACATATATTTAGTGTTTTTGTGTGAGTACATGCACGTGTGTGTGTGTGGAGTGCTTGGAGATTGTAGGACAATCTGAGTGTGCAAGATTAACTCTAACTCTCTCCATCTGTTCCTTCGAGGCAGGGTTTCTCCCTGGCCTTGAGGTACATGCTTGCTTGCTTTCTTTTTTTCTTTCTTCCTTTTGGTTTTTCAAGACAGGGGTTCTCTGCATAGCCCTGGCTGTCCTAGAACTCATTCTGTAGACCAGGCTGGCCTTGAACTCAGAGATCCAGAGATCCACCTGCCTCTGCCTCCTGAGTGCTGGGATCAAAGGTGTTTAACACCAACACCTGGCTTTTTTTTTTTTTTTTTTTTTTTTGGTTTTTTAAACAGCATTTCTCTATGCAGTCCTAGCTGTCCTGGAACTCAGAGATCCCCCTGCCTCTGCCTCCCAAGTGCTGGAGTTAAAGGTGTGCACCCCCGTGGTGCCTGGCCAGAGGCACTTGTATTTTGGGTTAAACCTTTGACTGCCAGAACAGTAAGATAATGTTTATGGCAGCTCATTCGAGCAGCGACAGGCAAAAACAGGCATGGATGCCTTTGGTGGTCTTTTGAGACAGAGTCTCACCTTGGACTCTAGATCTTTGTCTCTGCCTCTCAAGTGTTGGGACTATAGGCATGGACCACCACACCCAGGGTATGACATGCTGGGTGTAGAACTCAGGGCATCCTGCAAGGTAGCAGGCACTCTATCAACCAAGACACATCCTCAGCCCTGCTCTTGGTTTCTTCTCTTTTAACAGTTTCATTTATTTAATGTGTGTATGTGTAAGGGTCTGTGCCACAGCACCAACATGGAGATCAGAGGACAATTGACAACATTGCCTTCTTTCCTTCCACCACACGGGTTCTGGGCATTGGACCCAGCTTGTCAGGCTTGGTGGCAAGTGTCCTTGCCTGCTGAGTCACAGGTTTGATGTCTTGAGACAGGTTCTGATCATGTAGCTACGGTTGGCCTGGAATTTGTAACAATCCTGCCTCAATACCCTACTACTGGGGTTATAGGTGTGTACTACCACATCTGGCCCTTTTGTTTTGATTTTTTTTTAAGATTTATTTATTCTAAACACAGTGTTCTACCTGCAGGTTTGGTGAATGCCAGAAGAGGGGGACCAGATCTCATTACAGATGGTTGTGAGCCACCATGTGGGTGCTGGGAACTGAACTCAGGACCTCTGGAAGAGCAGCCAGTGCTCTTAACCTCTGAGCCCTCTCTCCAGCCCTTGATTTTTGTTTTTTGAGACAGCTTAGGCTGACCTCTAACTAGCAGTGCTCTTTCTACCTAAATTTCCCAAGTGTGGAGATCACAAGCTTGTGCCACCACACCCAGCTCTGACATTGGACTTTGTAAGGGGTGGGGACCCATCCTGCCCTCCAGCATGCACTCTAAGCTCTGGGTACCTTGGGGGCACTCACCTGCAAATGGTGGTCCCAGTAAAGCTGAGATGCCGTTGGCACAGATGATGATGCCATAGGCATTGGCCAAGTGCTCAGTGCCAACCAGGTCCTCCGTCACCACAGGCATGAGGGAGAAATACCCGCTGGAAAACCCAATCAGGGCGCAAATGACAGCCAGGCTCGCATAGGTGTGCATCAATGGCAGGAGGAAGATGCTGAAGACCAGGGTGAAGTTAGCTATGAGAAAGACGTTCCAGACGCTGATGCAGGGGAGGTCAGCCACCGCCCCCAGGATCACCTTCCCGAAGATGTGAAGGATTGCTATAATTGAGGTCAGAGGGAACACATCGTTTTGCTCCGACAGGTTATACAAACTGACGATTTCCGGCAGGTGGATAAAAGGGATGACAAAGCTGCTGTATGCAAACAGAGCCCAGAAAATAAAGGCCACAAACATGCGGTTGGTGAAGAGCGAGGCTGTTCCGAAATAGCCCGAGTACCAGTCCCTGAAGCCCTTCTGGACTCGGACAGTGAGCTGACTCACTGTCTTCAGAACCCGCAAAGCACACATGTTCTTCCTGGGACGGGGTTGACTTTGACACTCCTGTGCTTGAAGGTCACAGACAGTCTCCTCATTCTCAGGCTGTCTGTCCTGTTCTTCAGTCATGCCCAGTGGTCCTCCTGATTTTACAGATTCAGTGGAGTAAGCTGGGAGGGCACAGGGCTCCTTCCCTCTTGGGCAGTTTTCTACCTTCCCAGGAGACAGGGGCCTCATGAGCGCCCCACAAACACACAGGTTCAAGGACACGGCACCTTGTATGAACATGGCATTCCTCCAGCCATACTCTGCACACAAGTATTTCAGCAAAACGGTCATCAGGAATGTCCCAAATCCTGTCCCTGTGGTACTGAGGCCCTGGGCCAGGGCTCGTCTCTTCTGAAAGTACCTTCCCACCATGACTACCGCAGGCAGGTAGGCCATCCCGCTGCCGAGGCCTGCAGGTGAGATGGGAAAAAACACAGGCACAGTCAGGATCCATAGTGCATAAAGATCACCTGCTGTGCCAGGTGGCTTTCCAGACTGTAGCAAAACCACCTGAGGTAATCAACTTAAAAAGAAGAAAGGTTTCTTATGGTTAGCAATTTTAGAGAACTTACTTCATGATGCTTTGGGGCATGTCATGGCAGAGAGTCGTGGCAGAAAAGTAAAGAGAAAGAGAAGACTAGGGATCTAACTGTTGGTAGAATGCTTGCCCTAGCATGCATGAATTCCCAGCACCACATGAAAGTGGTCCCAGTCACACCACATGTCCTAACATTTAAGGAGTGGAGATAGGAGGATCAGAACTTCAAGGTCAGTCTCCGCTATACAGTGAGTTTGAGGCCACTATGGGATGCAAAAGACCCTGTTTAAAGAGGAAGGGGGGCATTTTCCCAATTACATATTCCTTCCACTAGGCCCTAGTCCCTAAAGATACCACTACCTCTCAACGGCCTGTCTTCACTACACAGCCTTCAGGGACACTTGAGATCCAAACACCTCCATCTCCTTACACCATTGTACTTTTCCATTCTAATGAAGGAATAATAATGACTATGTAAAGAAGTTCCGGGGAGAGGGGAGCCAGGAGGAGCTGCCGTTTTTCCCATCAAGCTTTGCAGTAGTTTCCACCAATAACATCAGAGCAGATTCCTCTTGTAAGATCAGAAAATTCAAAACACAGTGAGTTCCGGGCCAGCCTCACTGTGGAGTGAGGCCCTATCTCAGCAGAATCAAACAGAAAAGAAAATGACAAGTCCCTTGTTGGAACACTGTCCATGAATGAAGCTGTGTGAGAATTTTTGAGAACGTGTGAATTAACCCAGTAAACAAGCAAGTATTGTAACCTTTGTTCCTTCCATAACATGGGTTGTTCCTGGAAGGAGCTTTCACTAGGAGGGGGTTTACTTAGTCACCATCATCCTACCCATTATTATTCAGAGTGATGTTCCCAAGCACAAGCTGCCCTTGTGACTGTATACAGCTTGAATGCTAGTGAATGCTGCTCACACGACTAACCTAACCCTCAGATTACTCTCAGAATATACATTGTCTGATGCCCTGAATAAAGATGGCCATTGCATGAGACCTTACTTAGTCTGCCTCATTTCTGGTCTTCTACTCTCCCAGGTTCTCGCCTCCATCTAGAGCAGGTACGGTCCCTAAGCCTCCTGCCAGCATCAGTGAGGGCAAGACACAGTCCTCAGCACTGGGCCAAACTCTGGACCAATCTTTATAAAGCTTATGATCACAAAGATAGAAATCTAGAATTTCTTAGAATGTAAAATAGACAAAGTAAAAACAGCCCACCGAGGCCAGCAGACAGCTACAGGACGGAGGGGCTTGCTGCCACGCCTGACAACCTGAATTTGATCCCCAGGATCAAATGGGAGAAGGAGAGAACTGAATACACACACACACACACACACACACACACACACACACACACACACACACACCCAGGTTTGGTCTCAGCACCCAAATGATAGCTAACAACTACCTGAGCTAACAACTACCTGTAATTCTTGCTCCAGGGGGTCTGACGCCCTCTTCTGGCCTCTGAGGGCACTGCACAAATGTGGCTCATACACATGCTGGCAAATTCCCATAAACATAAAATAAAAATAAATAAATCTTAAAAAAAAAAACTCTAAAAATATTAAAAAGACATCATCCATGGTCCATCACCAGGTCCACATCCTCCTCATGGGTTGATTGAGTTTGGGCCATCTGTAACATCTACCTGCTATTTGAGAAAATTAACAAAGTAAAAAATATAGAAATGATATAATTTCTAGATGACTGTATATCTAAAACCCTAGCTCGATCCTCCAAGAAATGAGAAACTCAAATCAATTTCTGTGGCTAGTGTGGACTTTTGAGACCTTACCACTTTAGAAGCTGGCTACAAAATGTCACTGTCAGACAGACTCTGCAGTCATACCCTCAGCTCTCAGCCCATCTGACATCAACAATGCCACCTGGACCACACTGCTGTGAAAGGAAAGCCTCCCCTCTCCTACCCATTACCCCCTCCCTCACCCGCTTCCACTTTTCTCTGGTCCTGTGGTAGTTGTTAATTCTCTCCTTCTATATATATGTCCCTGCAGGCCAGAAGAGGGCACCAGATCTCATTACAAGTGGTTGTGAGCCACCATGTGGTTGCTGGGAATTGAACTCAGGACCTCTGGAAGAGTAGCCAGTGCTCTTAACCGCTGAGCCATCTCTCCAGCCTGACAAATCTTTTCAAAAAGAGATTAATTATATATATTAATTATTAATATTATATATATATATATTTAAAAAGGCTCCTCAATGAGTGTGTCTATGGCTATTCTAAAAAAAAAAAAAAAAAAAAAAACATTTCAGTGGAAATAATTTTAGTGCTTACATTTATTGATGTGGACCCCTGAATCAATATTTCTCAAGATATCTGAAAGGATCAGAGAAAAACCAAAAGTAAAAAAAAAAAAAAAAAAAACCCTAGATGAGCCACAGGGGACCTGTGAAATGTACCATGAGGATGTGCTATTGTCTGGAATATCATACATCACACAAAAAGTGCTTTTCCAGCATGAATGAGACCTTGGGATTGATCCTAGCACCACATAAATCAGGTATTGTGACACATACACCACTAATCCCAGAGCTCAGAGGCAAGGCAGGAGTATCAAGGTCATCCTTGTTTAGATACAGAATTTGAAGCTAGCCTGGGCTACATGAGATCCTATCTCAAAACAAACAAACAAACAAAACTCAAAGCCTAGGGTACTAAGCTGCCCAGTGTGGGTGGAGGGAACTGAACTCCAGTCCTTCGGGAGAGCAGCTTACCTTACCTGCTGAGCCATCTTTCCAGCTTCATATGGAAGTTTAGATCAAACCCAGGGAAGCTTTTAAAAACAGAATGATTTAATGACTCTTCACGCTACCCCTAAGCTTCAACAAATCTCAACTCACAGCCAGTTTTGTAAATACCACATATTATTTTGAAGCAAATCGAGAATATATTATCCTGTGTGTGCATATTTTAGGATAAATCTCCAAATGTAGGAATCATTTAAATGGCATGGTTCTCATATCATTATCTCATTGGGAAAAAAGTTCTTTGATACTACTAAATATCCAGAAGGTGCTCAAATTTTCAAATGTTTCAAAAAAAAAAAAAAACCCAAAAACTTGCATGTTTAAACTGCAGTCCAAAAAGGTTTTACACATTGCTGCTGTTGTTGCCTATTTTAAGTCTTTTCCTAAACCTACCCCAAGGCCTCTTGCAATTTATTTTGTTGAATTTGTTTAAGACACTAGGTGATTTGTTCTGTGGCACTGACATACTTTGGATTTTGATGGGTCTCTTGTAGCCCAGGCTAGGTAGAATTTGTGGTTAAGAATGGCCTTGAAATTCTGATCCTATCCAGGTGGTGGTGGTGCATGCTTTTAATCCTGGCACTTGGGAGGCAGAGGCAGGCAGATCTCTATGAGTTCCAGGCCAGCCTGGTCTATAGAGAGTGAGTTTCAGGACAGCCAAGGCTGTTACACAGAGAAAACCTGTCTTAAAACAAAACAAAACAAGTTTCTAATCCCTTTAAAAATTATTATTATTATTATTATTATTATTATTTTATGTGTATATCATGTCTGTGTGTGACTGCAGATACACACACACATACAATAACATGCATGTGGAGGTCAAAAGACAACGTTTAGGACAATGGTTCTCAACACATGGGCCACAAACCCCTTGGGGTCCAAACGACCCTTTCACACAGGGGTCGCATATCAGATAGCCTGTATATAAGATATTTACATTCAATTCATAAGAGTAGAAAAATTACAGTTATGAAGTAGCAACAAAAATAATTTTATGGTTGGTGGGTCACCATAACATGAGGAACTGTATTGAAGGGTTGCAGCATTAGGAAGGCTGAGAACCAGTGTTTTAGGAGGTGGCTCTTTCCTTCCACCTGGGGATCCAAGAGCCACTTAGGCTGTCCAGGCTCGTACCTGTCATAGGCAAATACTTACCCCTGAGCCATCTTGTCAGCACATCGACACCACGTTTTAGTGTTCCATTCCTCTTGTCTTAAGCGATATGCTTGAGTTTATGTCATTTTTATGCTACACATACGCTACCATGTCTGTGTGTCAGCTAACATTTACCATCATGCTTAGCATTTTATGTAAATTACTCCCATCATTTCAACATGCTACTATGGTACTCTTACTTGCTCCTCAATTTGCACATAAGGAAACTGAGGTGTAAGGAGCTTCAGTGACAAGTCTAATGTGCCTAATGTCACACGAATGCTAAGTGGTTACAGAAGGTGGGCACAAATGGGTGCAGCTCAGTGGTAAGTGTGCTTGCCCAGAAGGAATGAAGCCCTCAATAAACCAGGCCTGGTGGCACACTGCTGCAATCCCAGCACTCAGGAGGTGGAGGCGGGGGCATCAAAAGTTCAAGGTCCTTCTCAGCTACACAGTAAATTCAAGGCCAGCCTGGGGACACATAAGGACCCATCTCATAACAGAAATGAATGAATAAATAGACAAAACCTTTTGTTTTTACATTGTTTGTTTTCTGAGATAATGTCTTCACACATAGTCCCGACTAATTTTAACCTTTCTATCGCCTTGCCTGAAGCTCCCAAGTGTTAGGATTACAGACATGCTGTGTATCACCATATCCCAACCAATAACTTCCTTGCTTTGTTTTTTGAGACAGGGTCTTGTGTAGCCCAGGATGGGCTTGAACATACAATGTATGTAGCTGAGGATGGGACTTGCATTCTGGATCTTCCTGTCTCCACCTCCTTAGGGCTAGAATTATAGCTATGTACCACCACATCTAGATCTTTTCTTTTGTTTATGATTTTGTTTTGGATTTTTGAGACAGGGTCTCACTGTGTATTCCTGGCTGTCCTGGAATCATTCTGTGGACCAGGGCTTTGAACTAATAGAGATCCTTCTGCCTGTATCCTGAGCACTGGGGTTTCCTTCCTTCCTTCCTTCCTTCCTTCCTTCCTTCCTTCCTT